TAAATATAGATATAGATATAGATATAGATATAGATATAGATATAGATATAGATATAGATATAGATATAGATATAGATATAGATATAGATATAGATATAGATATAGATATAGATATAGATATAGATATATGTAGATATAGACATATAGAGAATTTGATTACGGATAGAGTATACAACATGTTGGCTTAGACTGTTACAGCCAGGCTTAAATTTTTGCGCCGGCAACCAAAAAAAGGTGGACTAACTAAGCCGACAACCGCAAAGGCTAGGCGGCAGGTGGCTAGTGGCAAGTGGTAAGTGGTTTGGTCAGCGGCAACACTGCCATTGTTAATGTGGTTGTTGTTGTTGTAGCCATTGCTGCTGGTATTGCTGTTGTTGTTGCTTGAGCCGGATCGCTTGCAGGCCACTTCACTTTATTTACAGCTCGTCTAAGCGGCAAGTGCGAAAACAACGCACTGAAATGCTCTCGTTTTTTATGGTTAGCGGTAGCTGATTGAAAAAAAGAAGAGAAAGAGAAAGAGAAAAGGAGAAGGAAAAACTCGCCCATACGCAGTCGAACATCAGCCAAGCAAGCAAGTGATAAGGCTGAAATGTAACGTTGCGTAAGGCGATGCCCGCTAAATGACCAAATGGCCAAATGGCTATTGGCCAAGGCACTTGCACTTGCTGTTTGTTAGCCATTTGCCAGCCTCAACTAGTGGCTCCTTTTATGGACACAACCAGAAGGAAATGGCCGCAAGTGCAGCCAAGTGGCTCGTTAGATGAAGCGGAAATTTAACTGCCACTGAATGAATGTATTACACCTGCCGCAAAGAGCCTTTAAAAAATAAATCATCATCAACTTTAAAAGCAATAATCATAATAATAGTAATAGCAATAGTAATCGTGATAGTAAGAATTATTAATGTAGTCCGCACATTTAAATGTATATCGAATTAAATAAGTAGTTCATTAACCACCTACACCACATACATATACATATGTATTTATATATGTATGTGCATATATTTGCCATTAAAAGAAATGAATTTCTGTATGCTAGTGCGTCATTTGGCAGCTATCTCTGCGCCCTGCCCTTGAGTGCATAGTTAATGTGACACGCCCACTGTTTAGCTGGCGTCTGTGCTGGGTGGAAGCTTCTCGGCGTGTCGTTCAAACGGTTGCCGCCAAAACGCTAATGCAGTCGCAACGGCGACGGCGACGGCGACAGCGCTGCCAGCTGCTAATGAAGTTCATCAAAGCTTCAGCTTTGTTTACAAACAACGCAAAAGCTTTCGCCGGCATTGTATTGACTGCCACAACATACGCTCACGCAGTCACGCGCTCTCTCTCTCTCGCTCTCTCTTTTCGCTCTCTCCCAATGCCTTTATTGCGCTCTGTCGCTTGCGGTGTGTGCTTTGCGGCTACGTTGAGAGAGCGCGTGCGCTGCAAACGTCAAAACTGCAATATAAAATGTAAACGAAGGAAAAATTGTGAAAAGTGAGCGGCAAAACAACAATTAAGTAAAGAAAAATGAGAGAAAACAAAACTTAAATATAATAGAAGCCAAAGCAGAGCGAAAAGAAACAAGTAGGCAGCTAACGCGACCGCATGATAAATTAGAGTCAAATTCAATTTTTCGCCAGACGTCACAGAAAAATTCCCAATTCGCATATTCGTCGCGTCGCGCTAACTGTATATGTACAAAATATACAAATTTAGTATTTCATCTAATTTATGCATATATTTATATCTATATAT